AGACACACCGTTCATACGAGGCCTTACAATACCCTCTCATGCATGTTAATGGGGAAGATGGTGTGTGGCGAACTTCTTATCCCACCGGGTCATTGAAGACCGGAGTAATCTTCCTCTCTGGGTTGTTCTTGCTGAAAGCGTTGACGCATTTAAAAGAAGACTCGATCGTAATTTACTCGCTGGTCATACATTTGGTAGACAACAACGATTTATATAATGTAAACATGGCTTTAAAACACATGCATGATTTGACAACATCTATCTGCAAATAGGGGTTTCAAAGGCTCTGCTATCCCCCTTATATATACTGAATTAGAGGGAATAAAGTTGGAATTTCCTAAGAAGGCTCAGCCATTTCTGATAATTCCGTGGTTGAATCACGCCGGAGTTACTAATATGTGGGAATTAAGCAGTGTTTGTACTCGGACCACTACAATCATCAAGTCAAGTCCGAGTACTTGGTAATGGGAAATGACACAAAAATGAGGGGTTCATTATGCACAGCACCCCGATTTGCTGTCTCAGGCAGCAATGACCACAGGCAAAAGCAGACCTGGTGTTGATTGTGCTCACTCATGACTTCAAATCAGATGGTTGCGTGTTAATATCACGCGGAAGCCATCAGTTCATGGTCGTCTAAGTAGTAAGTATAATCAGAGCACTGAAATCCTCATATCTAAATTCCAGACCGTTTGTAAGAAACTGAAGGTACCTGTTGGAGGCCAAACAGCTTTGGTCCCTACGGTCGTTTGCTATACCTTCGATCTGTGTGCCACACTTATTGTAGTCGCTGTTCCCTTAGAGCTCTGTACAGTCAACTTTGCTCTACTTGCCACACCCTCCCTAGCCTCCCATTCTGTGCATTGTCGCAGAGAAATTCAGTATTTAGTATGGGTGTTATACCTGCATTGATCGTCGCACAAATGTATTTTGCCAATATGCAGTCTACATACTTTGTTCGAGGTCGTAGATATATTAGTTGCTATCGTTGACATGTGCATACAAATCTGATCTAGCTACTGTCCTTTTGAAATTGCTGCAGGTATGCATCTGTAAATGAACGCACTGCATGAAGATTATTTCGGAAACTGGATATTTTCTCTGGTCATCAATTTGCATAAACTTTGAAGACTTTCTGCACTCGTATAAGACTGATTGTTTATGTTAACTGCTCCTGCCACAGACGCTCTTTTCGGATTGTTTTTTAATATCTGGTTTTTCTCCTGCCTACGTATATTCGATCTTGGGAAAACAATTAAATGACTCTTCTGCGTGAGTTCGTTTAAGTATTCGGTTTCCCGCTTGGCTCTGTGATTTTTTGGAAGTATGGCAACGAGACGTTATACGGATCCTGTCTACCTTCAATTTATATGGGACGCACTTGAAGCTCCTACGGCCGGCAGACCTTACACCTTTGAATGCATATTTGACTTCGTTCGAACGGAAAAGGATCCTAAATGTAATCCTGGTAAACTTCGCCAGGAGCTCGCAAACTCCGTTAGGGATAGGTGCATATCGGTAAATGGTGGTCAGTACAGAAAGACAGACTGGTCTGACTTACCTACCAAGGGCAAGCATGATTGGTAAGTGGAAAATAGTTGTTATTTGAATTTGTGCTCTAGTTTTTACTTCCGTTGGATTTGTTTTCCTTCACATTTCTGCTGCGCCACCTCAGTGGTATTCGTCCAGCCCATGTCAATTGTGGCTTGAAGGCGTGCATTGAAACGCAATAGCGCTACAGTTGACAGAATTACATGTTTCTGGCGGGCTGTGATGCCATTCCGTACTGTAAGATTTCTGGCCGACGACAGTTGTCGGTTAGCGGTCTTGCCAGGTTCATGTCGTTCATCGTCTGTTTATCTGGAACCTTCCGCCCGTCTTCTTTTCATTATCACCCGGCTGGCGTGTTTCGACCAAAGTGCTGTCAAAGTGATCTAGTACTGATGTCGATACATTTAACAAATACGAACAGTAGGCTTGTTATTGTCACTTTCCCCCTAAGCATGCGAATTCCTTTAAGTACGTCTTTAGCAAAACAAACTACAAAGTTCTTAAGATAGTACAAGTTTATGGGACATATCTCTAAAATACGGCCTGCTTTACCTTTTGGTGAACACTTTGCATGCATCTCCTCCTAATTGCAGCACGTCTTATCAACTTTTCGCTCATCCGAATTGCCTTCTTTATGCATTTTCAGGTATTGTTTCCAGTGCCATGGTCCGGGTCCGGTGGTCTGCTGTCCAACGTGTTTTCGTGTGTACCATCTTGACTGCCTACCAGCCGCAATGGAGTCGTCATACAGTCCCCAACTTCCGGATGAGGACCCTCCAGCCGGAAAAAATAGTGTTTCTTCCCAGCCACCATCGGCCCCATGTCCCGCGTGTAATCGCTCTACTAGAGTCTCTTTAAATCCACAAACGACT